CATAGTAATCTCAAGTTCATTTTTACAAGATATAATTCTTACATATCCTAATTCCTCAAAATCAATTAGTTGTGTTTGATAACAAAATTTATTATGAATTATACTATAAAACAATGGGAAAATGGAACAAAACATGTAGGTTTATAAGCATTAAAAATTGCTGGTTGGGAGATGGTGGTGTATACCTTTAATCCTAGCAATTGGGAGGCAGAGGAAAGCTGATCTCTGAGTCCCAGGACAGCCAGGGCAACACAGAGAAACCCTGCCTTGATAAACTCTAAATAAATAAAGTGTGTGAGTGTGTGTGTGTGTGTGTGTGTGTATGTGTATGTGTGTGTGTGTCTCCAAGCAGCATTAAACTACAAGATGGGCCAAGAATAGTCACATAGGCCTTAAATCCCAGCACTTCGGAGGCAGAGGCAAGCAGATCTCTTGAGTTCATGACCAGCCTGGTCTATAGAGTAAGTCCCAGGACAGCCAGGGCTATAGAGAGAAACCCTGTCTCAAAAAACAAATAACAAAACAAAAAATTTCTATGTATACAAACTTATATGCATGTTAGTGTATTCTTAACCATTTCTACTCATGATAAATAGGTCAAATGGGACCAGAGAGACTTCCACTGTTCATTTTTATCCTTCATGATTCAATTTACAATCTCAAATCATGTCTTTTATTTTTTAAGTATCAGAGGAATAAGCTGAGCAATAGGATGAGTCATTTTACATTTTTTTTCTTTATAGTCTTTTTTCCAGTCAGTGTAGGGTGGAGCCCAGGGAGTTGAGCATACTAAGCAGGCATTCTCATTTTAGTCTGCAGTGCAGACATCCAGTGTTTCTAAGAGGTTCCAGGAAGGGCTGCAGAGATTTTGGTCAGTGAAGTATAGACCTGAGTTTTATACCCAGCACCCAAGTAAAAAGCTAGACATGTGACATATATCTGTGACCTTGGTTCTGGGGAGACAAAGAGGAGGAGATCCTGGAGATCACTGGCCAGTCAATCTAGTCATGAAGTGAATTCTGAGTTCAGAGAGAGACTCTGTCCCAAAAAGTAAGATGAAGAGCAATCAAGAGAGACATCAGCCTCCAGCCTCCATACCGCACACAAACACCTGCACAACACGTGTATAGACACACACTTTAAACATGCAAAATAAACAAAATCATCAGTTTTTACATTTAAGATAACATAAGTTAGCCACACACCTTTAATACCAGCAGAGGGAGGTGGATCTCTGTGAGTTCAAGACCAGCCAGATCTACAGAGTGAGTTCCAGGACAGCCAGGGCTGTTACACAGAAACCCTATCTAAAAAACCAAAAATGAAATAAAATAAACAAGATAACAGAAGTTGGATGGTAGTGACACATGCCTTTAATCCCAGCACTTAGGAGGCAGAGGCAGGTGGATCTCTGTGAGTTCGAGGCCAGCCTGGTCTATAGAGCGAGATCCAGGAAAGCCAACGTTATGCAAAGAAACTTTGTCTTCGTGTGTGTGTGTGTGTGTGTGTGTGTGTGTGTGTGTGTGTGTGTAACAGAATTACAAATAACAGAAAAAAATAAAGTAAAATAGAATTATAAATATATTAGTCACTTTTCAAAAAATTATATAATGTTTGTAATAGTAATGGGAGGCAGGGTTAAGTTAAATGTTTAAAAAAAATGGTTTAGGGACTAGAGAGATGGCTCAGCTGTTGAGAGCACTGGCTGCTCTTCCAGAGGACCTGGGTTCAATTCCCAGCACCTATTTGGCAGCTCACAAGGGTCTATAACTCCAGTTCCAGGGGATCTGGCATCTTTATACAGGCATACATGCAGGCAAAACACCAATGCACATAAATAAAAATAAGTAAATCTTTAAAAGACTGATTTAAAAAGTAAACCAGGTGTGGTAGCTCACACCTACAGTCCCAATAAGAGGCTGAGCAAGAGGACCATTCTGAGTTCCAGGTCATCCTGTGCTACTACAGTGTAACCCTGTCTCACAAAACAAAGACAAATAACAACACAAGTCACAAGCATCGTGGTCGTCCCTCCTCAGCCTCCCAAATGTTCTGATCACAGGCATATGCTGCTAGCACAACTGGATACTACTAACTCTTGTGTTATCACACGGAGCAAGAAAAATAAATGCATATAGTTCATGATATGAAAACCATTTTTAAAAAAGCATGATTCTATATTTAAGTTAAAAGTTTTAAATCAATTAAGAGCTATCTATTTTCAATAACTAGTAACTGAAATTATTTGGACCAGGGCTTATACTGGGCACAGGATATAGATATATATTAGACTAGTTGCTCCAAGCGGAAAACTTACTAGATAGAGAACTATCATAAAAGAAAAACAGAATGATTTCTCATCCAAAGAGTTATTTAGTTTTATCATCTGCAAAAATAACCATTCAAAATGACTCCCACCTCAAGTTCAAAGTCCTTCCCCATCAGACTCGGAGACTAAGTTTCCACTCCCTTGAAGTTAGACTTGTAAATTGCTTTGAAGAGTAGAACATGATGGAAGTAAAGCAGTGCCAGTCCCAGACCTAGATTTAGTAAGTCTTGGAAATCTCAGCTTTGCACAACTGCTACCTTCAACCGCCAACTGCATGCCAGTGGTCCAGACTAGCATGAAGTAGGAGGCCCCAGGGAGAGAGAAAGCCTGCAGGGCAATGGCATGTGGAAGGAGATGAAGACCAAGAGGAGAGCTGCAAAACCTCAGAAGGTACTCAGCACCACAGCTCCAAGATGGGAGGGCATTCTGCAGCCTCCAGCCCACACCACACCACCTCAGCTGAAAAAGGAGCAGACAAGTCATCGCCACAGCCTCTGACCAAACTAACTCAAAACAGTAAGAAGACATGAGAGCATGGCTCACTGTGCATACCAGACATGGAGGAAAACAACCCTCTTAGCTGGAGGCAGAGTTTAGTGTAAGGTACCTAAACATCTCACACAGGCCTTTGGCACACAGAATAAAGAGAAGCTGAAAGAAAACGGTGACTGTGGAAACTGAAGGAGCAATGTAACACCTGCCACATGAAGCCACAAGTGTAACGTACACTACACACTGGAGAATGATCTGTAACTGTCACATGAAGTAACCTAGAAGAGTAAAATACACTGAATGAATCTGTGGATCGGCAGGTTTCCCACCAAAATAATCAAAGTGTTAGTAGCTTTTTTTTTTAATACACACATACCAGAAGGTATGAGGGGAAATCATGAGTTTGGTAACCTGTTAAAATTCTTAATAAAGGATTTCTGGATTGGAAAAGAACTCATCACTAGCTTCTTCAAATGGCAGAAGACTATCACAGAAAACATCTTGGGGGCCGGAAGAGATGGTTCAGGGGGCAAAAGTACTCACTGGGCAAGTATGACAGCCTGAGTTTAAATCCCCAGCACCCAAGTAAAAAAGTCAGGCTTCATGTACTTGTAACCCTAGCATGCATTAGGGGACAGAAACAGGCAAGCTGCCCTAGCCAAAATGGTGAGCTTTCAATTCAGTGAGAGAACCTGCCTCGAGGAACTAATAAAGAGATGCAGAGAGGAACACATGCAATATCTTCCCTGGCCTCCTCATGTGCACACATGGCATACACACTTGCACACTCACACGCACTCACCACATATGCACAGAAAATAAGGAAAACTGGGGAGAAGAGGAAGAAGGGAAAAGAGGGAGGGGAGGGGAGGGGAGGGGAGGGAGGGAGGGAGGGAGGGAGGGAGGGAGGGAGGGAGGGAGGGAAAAGGATAAAGATAAAAGCCAGCACGGGGACACAGACTCATCAGAGAACTGGCGGTGACATGAAGTGCATCTCTGAGCTCCCTTCTTCAGAAGGGAACACATGCTTGCACAGCCTTTCAGTCTAAAGAGCTTCCCTGTCAACTATAACTTAGGGTCCAAAGGAGAGAAAAGCCAGTCTCAAAAGAATCTCAGGTGGCATTTTTTCTTAACAGAATACAGCTCTTATTTGATATACAAAAAACCTACAAAGTACTTGATCAGTCTGAACTCAAACACGGAGTTACACCTCTAGGCTTTCAAACAATACACTGTGAAACAAATGGAAACTCAGGCACAAAACAGGACACCATCACCACCACCACCCCTTTTTCTGTTTTTGTTCTTTTCCAATCTTCTGGTTTGGAATTGTTTATAACACACACACACACACACACACACACACACACACACACTTTTTGTGGCTAGCAGGGTCTGCTTACTCTATTGCCCACACAGACCTCAAACAATGATCCTCCTTCCTCGAGCCTTACAAATGCTAGGATTACAGGCTTGCATCATGCCAGGCCTAAAAGTCCATTTCTTAAGGAAAAGTAAAGGAGCCCAAACGACCCAGCTAAACAGTTAAAAACAAATGAGGCACTGAAAAGAGAAAACTCTAGAGACAGTTTATGCTTCATTTTACCAAACAAATCAACTACTATGTGTTGGGCAAAAAGTGGGCACTAAAGCATATGGTAGAGAGCAAAACAGATCCTGCCCTTTCCCCCTATCACTTATCATCCAGGGGCACCTTACCACAGGAAGACCTTTACCAGGTACCACATATCATCATCATCCTCAGTTAAGTGTAAGAGTCTCATGTACCTTTACAAAAAGAGTGACTTTCAAAGCTATTTCTAAATTTAAAGTTTTACAACTACAGCACTGTACTAAAAATAACGATTATTCTAAGACACTGAAATGTCAATTGGCTAACAAGCAAACCAAAATACATCAACCCAAACACACGTAGGGGTTGTTGTCTTAATTTCCACTTGAAAAAAAATAATCAGATCAATTCATATGTTCAACCTTAATAGACAACTAGTTAAAAATCAACTTTAGTCGTTATAAAGACACTGCAATCTCCAATTTTATTTCATTTTAATTAAGAAATTTTTAATTTCCTTGCTTTGACAAATTATCCTAGGCTAAAATAATTTCAAAGACATTAAGCTCTGTGACTTTTCTAGGAGTTCTTATTTTAATCATATACCTTTCCATGGCTTTAGCTGTATAAGGCAAATGCATTTCAATACTGTGTTCATCTTCATCTGTCTGCAGAGACATGCGTTCAAACATTCCTGTCTTCCATAGCTCTCCATAAACTAAAAAAATTTCAAAATATATTAAAACAAATATTAATGCATACATTTATTTTATGAGCTTCCACCCAGCAACACAAAACTATAAGCTATGGCAAGAAACAAAAACACCACATACTCCATTTTTTACTATAAGTGAAAGACACATGACTAATTTTATTACATAAAATAATGCATGTAAAGACTTACCATTTGGATAGTAACACAGTACATTTTTCATCAATTCCTTTTAATATTTCTAACATAAACTCTGGGTCTAGGCTATTCTTTGGATTTTAATCTAAATGTTCTAGCCAAAACAGTTCACTAGAATTTCTACTATAATAGAAAAAAATCATCTATTTATATATAATATTAACAATATAGCTTTTATGTTTGCTTTGTTTTTTATAATAAATTGTGTAGTTTTATTATTTCACTTCATGTTTCTACCATACCAACATCATAAAATTCTCACTTCCAAATTTTTTCTAAATTTCAAATTTTAACTTATGGCAGAAATCATAAATCCACCACAGTATTATGACAACTTAAAATAATCTAGCTATCTGGATATTTCTGATGAACTATACTTAAACCTGAAGACTACAGAGCAAGATGTGAAATTTAGTATGCCAAACACAATGGGACAATAACTTAGAGTCAGGTCTGCGACACACACCAACAAACCTCGGGCTAAAGCAGGAGGCTCACAAACTCGAGAGCAGCCTGAGCTACAGAGAGGGGATCAAGGTCTTGTTGAGTTCACTTAGCAAAATCCTTTCTCAGGAAAAAAAAAAGGAAGAAAAAGAAAAGAAGAGAAGGAAGGGATGAAGAGAAGGAGGGAGGAGGGAGAGAAGGAATGAAAGAGAAAGAAGGGAGAAGCGGGAGGAAGGGAAGAGGAACAGAGGAGAAAGAAAAAACAAAGGCAAAAAATGGTAGTTAAGACCTCATTTCTACAAAACACCTTTTAAAAAATTATCCATTTCTTTGCTTTGTACCAAATAAGGTTTTTAAAAGTAAAGGTTGGGTGGGCTGGAGAGACGGGGCTGGAGAGCTGGCTCAGTAGTTAAAGCACTTGTTCTTTCAGAGACCCAGGGTTCGATTCCCAGAGCCCACACATTGGCTCACAACCATCTACAGCTCCAATTCCAAGGAATCCAAAGCCCTCTCTGACCTCCTCAGCTACTAGGCAGGCACACGGTGCACAGATATGTATGTGAGCAAAACACTCATACCCATTAAATCAAATAAACAAATTTAAAAATAAGAAAAAAGCAAAGTGTGTCCCTTAAGACTTCTCAATCAGGAAGGCATATTCTATTTTGATTAATAAGATCTATTCAAATAACACTGCTAATATTCTATAAGACAACCTCAAATTATAAAAATCAAAGCCGAAATAAGGTCTAAATGAGCTAACCATCTTTTACCGATGCTATCTTTTATTTAATATAAATTGCTATAAACTTTAACAAAACAACAGCATCCCTTATATACTTAAAATATAATTTAATGAACTGAGGGATACACTCCCAAGTTCATAAAAAGTGGTTATGATGCAGAAAGAAGGGAAAATTCAGTGTAAACTGTGGTCAATGAATACATCAATATTAATTGTTCTGCTCTGTATACTGTTTTGTTTTGTTTTTCACATGACATACATTGTATAAGAAACAAGTGAACAAAAAATGACATCTGGGGACTGGGAAGATGACTGCTCAACCTGAATTGGATTCCTAAAATCCACACAAAAATGCCCGACATGGTGGTGCACGCTTAAGCTTCCATGGGAAATGAAGACAGGGCTCCTTGGCCAGCCAGCCTAGCCTTCTAGGTGAGTTCTAGGCCAGCAGAGACATTGTCTCAAAAGAAAAAAGGAACATACAGTACCCAAACACAAATGTCACGCGCTCACTCACAGGAGAAAACACACACACACACACACACACACACACACATTTTTTTTTCCCCTCTAGAAGGAAAATCAAAACAGACATGGGAGCTGGACAGATGTCTTAGCAGGTAAAATGCTTACCACAAAAGCTTGACAACTGGAGTTGGGACCTGAGAATCCATGTAAAAAGTTGGGCAGGTGTGGTGTTCCATCTGTAACCTCAGTGCACAGAGGCAGAAGGAGATCCCCAGATTTTATATATATATGGCAAGCCAGGTAAGCCAAAATAGCAAGTTCTGAACTCAGCCAGAGATACTGCCTCGGTATATCAGGTGGAATGCTCAAGGAAGACTCCCGATGTTAGCCTCAGGCCTCCACATTAGCACACACATGTACCTTTACATAACACAGACACACGCACACAACCATAAATATGCAAGCCCATATGCATGCATACATACGTATACACACACACACACACACACACACACACACACACACACACACACAAAATAGCACATGTTAAAACAAAATGTATTTAAAGCTTCTGTACCACCTTTCAGAGCCTCAAAACCTATAGAATAATTTCCCATAAAAAACAATGAGAGGAAATGAAAGTATTATCACCATCACTTAAAGTGAAAAAAAGTGATACACATAAAAATAGAGTAAACCTGCCAAGTCTTTTATCAGGCTGTCATGTATACTAATTTCTTGCTTTACAGCACAATACAAAAAAAGTATTTCTCTAAATATTAATGTAACCACTATGGTATGGGGCCAAGTGCCTTTAACACGTTTTTGTTGTTTTGAGGAAAACACTACTTTTTTGTATCTGGCTTATACAGATTAGTTACAACCAAAAAAATTTAATTGAGATATTATGATATTTGTGTCTTTAAATGTTTTTAAATTAAACTGCAATCCTTGTTAAATGAGCTTTAGGTATGTAAAAACTACATGATTTCTATATACTTACTCTTTTGGTCAATACGCAGGTCATACAGAGGAGTCCTATATATATCCACACTGGAGAGTGCACATCGAGACAGGGGCACATGATGGGAAGGCCCAAGGATGAAAATTCTCCGGCTGGGAGATACACAACAGAGACACAGAACAAATGTACTTCTACACAGATCTTATCAAGAAAAGGAAAAGTCACTTTAAATCGCACTTGTTTTTCCAATGCTGACTATCTACTTTCACCACATTCTGTGAACAGAAGAGCTAAACTATGGTCTCACTAAAACTCATATACTGAAGCTCCAACTTCCCATATCTGACTGCCAATTTGGAGACAAATTTTTCAAGAGCTAATGAAGCTAGAATGAGGCCCTTAACATGTGACTGACGGACTTATACAGAAAGACTTCAGAGCCAGGAGTGGTGTCCTATATAATCCCAGAATTTGGGAACCCTGAGGCAAGGATTGCTGCAAGTTCCAAGTCAACCTGGGCTACACAGGGAGTTCTAGCCAGCCAGGATTACAGAACAAGGTCCTGGAGTGGGGTGGGGGATACACAGGACACAACCACGACACATGACTCCAAGGACATGCCGAGCAGTCATGCAGTGGGAGGCCTAGCAACCAAAGAGCCTCAAAGCAAGCCATGACACAGGGTTCCAGCTTTCCAGGCCATGACCGCCGGCTCCACCCTTCCAGAACTGTGAGGAAATAAGATTTCTGCAGGCTAAAGCACACAGTCCTTAGAATTCCACAACAGAGCTGACTGGATGGTTTGCCCCTCGGTTTTCATCTGCATTTATGTCCAATAATTGGAAATACCAGCTATAAATTTTTATAATAAACATGCTATACATAAATCATTTCTACATGTATAACTAGACACATTTCAAAGAAGACTATCAGTTTAAATATTTCAGCTATGAAAATTTAAAAATTCTAATTTTTTTTTTTTTTTTTTTTTTTTTTTTTTGAGACAGGGTTTCTCTGTGTAGCTTTGGAGCCTTTCCTGGAACTCACGCTGTAGCCTAGGCTGGCCTCGAATTCACAGAGATCCACCTGCCTCTGCCTCCTGAGTGCTGGGATTAAAGACATCCATCACCACTGCCCGGCTAAAAATTCTAAATTTTTAATAAAGCTAAATACTGGTACAAATTTCTAAATATCTATGTCAAACAGCATTACAAAGAAGCATTCTGACAAAGCTTGATTCGACATTATTGGGGGTTTTTTTGGAGAGGGGTCAAAACAGGGTTTCTCTGTGTAGCTTTGGAGCCTATCCTGGCTAGCTAGCCTCACTCTGTAGACCAGACTAGCCTCGAACTCACAGAGATCCGCCTGCCTCTGCCTCCCAAGTGCTGGGATTAAAGATGTGTGCCACCACCACCGCGTTGGAAATTATTTTTATAGTAACAAAGAAATAGAACATCTTGTTGAAAAGAATTCTATATAATCAACTTTCTCTATTCTCATTCAAACACAAATCATCCTCAAATACAAAGAAACTTCATAATGCATTATCTGCACTGTCCACTAAGGAAAATAACTGGGCTAAATACTAGCTGGCTATAATCTTTACAATCCTTTTGTCTCAGTATTAAAAGTAAAATTAGCTTACTATTACTTCATATCAAACATCCAAATTTGTCCTACAATCTGAATTCTGAAAACTATGCATTTTCTGTTTTCTAAAATTCAAATAAACCAATCTTACCATACATTATACAAACATAAGTAAGTTATGAATGCAAAAAATGCAAAACTGTGGGAAAAAAAGGAAACTGGTAACGGGCTTAAGTACCTAGAAAACAATGACCTAGTTCTTCCACCATCAGATACTTGGAGAACAAGGACTGTGTGCTGTAGCAATACACTCTGACAAAAGTCTATTACTGCACCAAGTGTGACAGCATTTACCTACATCCCAACACTTAAGGACCTAGGATGATCAAGAATTCAAAGCCAGCATGGTCTACAAAGATCAGACCCTATCTCTAATCCTAGCACACAGGAGGCAAAGCATAGGCAGGCCTGGTATGCAAGATGAGACAATGTCCACAAATGAATGAATGAATGAATGAATGAATGAATGAATGAACCAATGAACCAACCAACCAACCAACCAACCAAAATGTTACTAAGGTAAGAAAATTAATTTTCTTTCTTTTCTTTTACTTTTTTTTTTTTCTTTTTTGAAGACATGTCCCTCTAAGTTGGGGAAGGAAGGGATAAGGAAGTTTTGGATTGTTATTCTTAGAGTCCCCAAATTGGATGAAATCACACAACACAGGAAACTATTTTATCCTTAGGCTAATGTGGGTCAGAAATAATCTCTTCTTCTACCTTTCTCTTCTACATCTTTTTAAAGATTTTGTGTATTTTATGTATATGAGTGCTATGTCTACAAGTATGCCTATACACCGAAGAGGGCACAGGATTCCATTATAATGGTTGTGGACACTGTATGGTGCTGGGAATTGACCTCAGGACCTTTGGAAGAACAGCCATCTTTCCAGCCCCTCCTCTCCATTTTTTGAGCACTGCAATCCATATTTGTTTTTTGTTTTGTTTTGTTTTGTTTGTTTGTCTGTTTTTCAAGACAGGTTTCTTCTGTGTAGTTTTGGTGTCTGTCCTGGATCTCACTCTGTAGACCAGGCTGGCCTGCCTCAAACTCACAGAGATCTTCCTGGCTCTGCTTCCTGAGTGCTGGGATTAAAGGCGTGCACCACCGCTGCCCTGCGCAATCCACATTTGTATCATCACATGTATCATCAGTAACATGGAGAAGGGTCTAATTCAGATTATTAAATGAACAAAACCAAAAGATACCATTTTGCTCTACTACAGCAGTATACAAATATTAATTAATTCTTTGATTAATGTCTAATGTGAAATATGTATAAAATGGTAACCTTGGGAATGTTTAAGTCACTTGATTAATGCCTGGGATTAATGCCAGGAACTAAGAATCGATGACACTTTTCGAGGCACAGTAGAGTATGTCTGTAGTCTACATACTCAGAAGGTTGATTATCAGTTGAGCTCAGGAGCAGAAGGCAACATAGTAAGACCCCACTTACAAAAGAAAAAGGAAGCGAAAGAGTGGATTAGACAGGGAAGGAAAGGGAAAACTCAATACAAAGGGGTGTGGCTCTGGTTGAAGAATCAGTTTCTATGAGAAAAAAAGCTTTGGGGAAACTCTAAGGTATATAGTTAAAATATAAATGATACTTTTAAAATGTCAGGTGTGGTGGCACACACCTTTTATCTCAGCACTCAGGAGGCAAGGCAAGCAGATCTCTGTAAGTTCCAGGCCAGCCTGATCTCCACACTGAGTTCCAGGACAGCCAAGGCTACAAAGAAAAGTCTTATCTTGACAATAGCAGCGACCACACGTCAATCTGAAGGCATATATTAATCTACTAGGTCACAGTGAGAGCTGCTCCAGTACAGTGGTGGTCTAGGTCACAGTGAGAGCTGCTCCAGTACAGTGGTGGTCTAGGTCACAGTGAGAGCTGCTCCAGTACAGTGGTGGTCTTCAGGAGTCCAGCTCCTTCAGCGGAGGCCTGGATGCTTTCTTTGCTCACCTGTTGTTAAGCCAGCCTATACAGAAGAGTCCCTACCAACCGGAATTAGCCAGATGTTTTCCCAATACATTCTTAGCTCAGTTCCAAAACTGATTTACAGGAAACAAGGAAAAAACTGAGCCATCAGTACAAAATCCTTAAAACTGACACACACGAAACACAGAAGGGTAGACATTACTGCAACAGTTAAGGGGGCATATTAAGGCAATAGTGACCTCAAAAATAGGCCTCTGTGTTAGCTAAAGTGCTAACACAAGAAAATTAACGAGGCACATTGAATTTCATGTGGTTCCTCCTCCTTTCTTTGCTAGACCCATAAACAGCACAGTCACTGCAATAGTTTGGGGGAAAATAAGTAAGCAAGCCTATGTCCCTTTCCTTTAATTAACTGAAAGTTGTTTTGCCTTTAAAGAAATAACCTCAGTATTAGTATTCTGGCTATTACTAGATCGGAAAAAGAAACCTTTAATACTAAATATCAGAGTGATGGTAGAGACTCACATTTTCCTAGAAATATAGTCCACACACTACAGCTCCTGAGAATTCACCTCTGTGAAATTACTATAATGAATACAGTATATGAGCACTTGCTCTCATATTTTTTCAACTACCTATTCCAACTAATGGAATGCAATTTTTTTAAAGATGTTTCACAGGGAGGAAAAATATTTTAACTAAAGACTAAAACTGTTATGAGTTTTTACATTTTGTCCTGCAAAGCTTTTTGAAAAATATAAATTAAATTCAAATTTCTGCCTAACTGCCTGTTGAATGTCAGATTTCAGTTGTTAGTTTTGTTAGCAGCCAAGAAAGACTTAACAACTGTCAATATGAAAAGTAATTTAATAAAATGTCCCATTTTTTAAATTTTCTAACAGCCCAAAATAATCTTTTGAAACACAAATCTGATCATTTCGCTTACTCTTGCCTTTCCCCCCCCCCCCCACCCCTTGGTTTTTCAAGACAGGGTCTCTCTGTGTAACAGCCCTGGCTGTCCTGGATCTCACTCTGTAGACCAGGCTGGCCTCGAACTCACAGAGATCTGCCTGCCTCTGCCTCCCAAGTACTGGGATTAAAGCTGTGCACCACCTCACTCTTGCCCTTATTTTAAAAGCCCTCCCTGAGCTGAGCAGTGGTGGTGCACACCTTTAATCCCAGCACTCAGAAGCAGAAGAAATCGGATCTCTGAGATTTAGGCCAGCCTGGTCTACAGGACAGCCAGGGCTACAACAGACAAACCCTGTCTCAAAAAACAAAAAACAAACAAACAAAAATCTTTCCCAGCTTTTCATGGTTATGAAGTCAAGTAAAACCCTTAAAAATAAGTGGGAGTTTTGTGGGCTATTTTTTCACCTAGGGTATGTGTATGGTTGGGGTGGCGGTGTTTAGAGGCATAGATGCAGAACGGGGGCACATGCAGAAATCAGAGTTTGATATCAGGTGTCTTCCACAGTAGTGCTCCACTTTATATTTGAGACAAGGTCTCCAGCAGAAACTAGAACTCACTGTTTCAGCTGGACTATATAACCACCAAGTCCAAAGATCTTCCTGTCTCTGTACCACCACCGACCATCCCAACTCCACGCTCTAGGGTTTCAGAGGCACACCACCGCACTGATTTTATAAGAGTGCTAGGGATCAAAACTCAACTCTTCATGCCTGTGCAACAAACACGACCACTGAGTCCTCTTCCTGTCCCTAAAATGGATTTAAAAGGCTCAAGTGACCTAGCAATTTCTTGTACTCCTCTCGCACCCCTTGACTGTTAACATTTTATGAATACACTAGTCCTACAGCCCGGATGAACTAACAAGTTTAACTACACTCTGTCATTCCCTTTGGTTGGTTGGTTGAATTTAAACACCAATTCCTCAGTGAAGCTTTCCCAATTGGCCTTTCCCGTGCCTAAAATCCAATCACCCTTTGAAGGTCTATCATATCAGTTGTCACAGTGTGATCTGTACGCTCTTAAGAAGTATGCAGTTCAAACTCATGCCGAAGAGTGAAAAAAAAGGGAAGGCCCCTGCTTTCTTCTCTGCTGATCTACACCTAAGCTGCAGAAACAAGAGTAAGTCAAACTGTCGGCATGACCTCCCGGACAGAGAAACCAACACACTCAGGAGTCCTCCACTGCTACACTGGTTTTGGTTGTTGTCTTTTAAGGCAAATTTCATCAGAATTCTTGACCCTTGCGAATACATCTTAACACTGAATGACAAAAGATATTCAAACATGGGGACAGATTCATAAAGCACTTCTGCAGATGAACACTGTATCTCAGGGAAAATACCTATGTATTAGGAGCTGAAAGCGAAACTAGACACATTTTTCATGGAAAACAATTGTCACTTAAAAAACCAATAGTAGGCATTTGGGAGAAATTTTCTCCAAAATAAACAAAATAAGCCTGCCATTTCAAGCAAAACAATTGACATATTTGTTGTACAGAATAAAACTGAAGCTTTCAAGTGAAAATTAAGTCCAATATATTTCAGATGGTGGTATGAACAAAAGTAATCTTTAAAACTGTATAACGAAACATCATTTGAAAGATCTGCACTGACCCTCAAGCCACTCTTTCTATTATGTTCCGGTTTAGTGTTAAAGGAAACATTTCCAGTGAATGGGAAAGGTGGTCGAGCTGCTCCTCCCTTTGAAACTACGTACCTGTGTGGGAAAATGGATCAGAACAAACTGAATGCAGAAGCAGACATGAGCACAGAGGTGGCTTCTAGTTAAATTATACATGAAGCCAGCGTCTGACAAGGTAGCACACACTGTAATCCCTGCACTTCAGAGGCCGAGGCAGAAAGACTGCTGTAAACTCAAGGCCAGTCTAGGCTGCAAAGCCAGATTCTTGTCTCAAATATTAAAAAATGTACAGATTTATGTATAATAAACATAAAAACATATTAATACATTTATACATAATATATAAGTTATATAAAATTGTATACATATATATGTTTTGTTTTTTGAGACAGTGTCTCTCTATGTAACCCTGGCCTTCCTGAAGCTGACTATATAGACCAGGATGCCCTGGAACTCATAGAGATCCTCTTGCCTCTGCCTTCCCAGTGCTAGGATTAAAAGTGTGTGCCACCAAGCCTGGCTATAGTTTGTAATAGAAATGTAAAAGTGTAGTAGATTATTATTTTAGGGTGTGTTACATCTGTTTATATTGCATTTGTTTAACTCTGTGAAGCTGTGTTACTTACTGTGCCTGTGTAAAACACCTGATGGTCTAATAAAGAGCTGAACAGCCAATAGCAAGGCAAGAGAAAGAATAGGCGGGGCTGGCAGGCAGAGAGAAAATATAGAAGGAGAAACCCGGGAGAAGAGTTGAAAGAACCAGAGAAAGAGGAGGACTCCAGGAGCCAGCCACCCAGCTACACAACCAGCAACAGAGTAAGGTTTACAGAAGTAAGAGAACAGGAAAAGTCCAAAGGGAAAAGATAGATGGGATCAGTTACGGAAAGCTGGCAAGAAACAAGTCAAACTAAAGCCAGGCATTCATAAGTAATAATAAGCCTCCATGTGTGATTTATTTGGGAGTTCGGTGGCGAAAGCTGGGTGGTGGGCCCCTCAAAAGAGACAAAAAAAGAGCAAAAGCAACTAATAACATAAAAGCAATGCCTCTTTTCCTACTACCCTTCACTATGATGGAAACGTACTTGTTTCTCATTTAATGTTTCATTTAGTTCATGGTATTTGGGGACAATAGTAGAGGGCTTTCTTAGCATGTATGAGATCCTGGATTTGATTTGCATCATTACACAAAAGTCACTTTCATTAATATTCAATTTTTATTATTTTGATAAATAGTTTTAATTGTTTATCCTAATTTCTTCTTTAGCTTTTTTATGTGTATGATTATTTTGTCTGCGTGTATGTATGTTCACCACCTGCATGCCTGGTGCCCTTGGGGGTCACAAGAGGGCATCTGAGATCGGAGGAGGGCACCAAATGTTTTGGGACTGGAGTTACAGACAGTTGTGAGCCGCCAAGCAGGAACTGAACTTGGGTCCTCCAGAAGAGTAGCCGGTGCTCTAACTGCTGAGCCGTCTCTCCAGCCCATACAAACATTTCCGTACTTGTAAAGTTTTTTATTTTTCACCATTATTATTGTAAAGGGTTTACTTTTAATTCTAGCACATTAAGATATTTTTTAATTAAGTTTTTTTCATGCACTATATTCTGATCATGCTCCTTCCTCTCCCCAATCCCTCCCAGATGCTCCCCACCTCTCTGCCCACCCAACTTTATGTTCTTTCTCTTGAAAAAAAAGAAAAGAAAGATACCAACAAAACACAGAAATAAAAGCCAAAATAAGCAAAAGACCAATACAACAGTCATGTCCATTATTTTTAATATTTTATAAATTCTTTTGAGAATTTCATACATTTTGATTATATTCACATCATCACCATTACTCCCCAATTTGTCCATTCTTTATATAAAAATGATCAAACATACACTATCCTGAGGAGCATTATGGTATTATAAGCATTTAATGGTTTCTGGGGAAGAGGGAGTCATCCTCAGTGATATGATCACTGTTAAATTACCATGCACCAATAAGGAAAACTGCACTCACGCTCATGCAAGCAGCCCTAGGTAAGCTCAGTCAGTTAATAAAAAGAAGGGACTTCGTGGGATGGGGTAAGAGTACCAAATAGGGAGCGAATACAAAAGACTTTATATACATGTGTAATATTACCAAAGAATTAAAAATTTTAAAGGAAAACACATACAATATATCATCATCCATAATAATTATGGTTTTTAAAAATACTCATATGAAAAATCTTGCTTAATATGATACATACTTTCTTCTCAGTTCTGCACAAATTTATATCCTCATTTTAGTTTATGATGTAATACCTTCTAAAATTACTACAATGCCTCATAGTGAATTTCATCATTTTATTTAATAATGGTCTCACAATGTAGCTCCAGCTGGCCCCAAACTTGTTGTCTCTTAGCTCAGCCTCCTCACTGCTGGGATTACAGGTGTGCATCACCATGTCTGGCAATACTCATTTTCAATATCTATAAAATATTACACTAATTAAGCTGTCATTTTTATTTAATTCACTATTCAATTTTGGATATTAAAACATAATGCTATTGTTGCAATCTTAATGTACTTAACCTTTTGCATTTTAGGACTCATTAAGATAGAGTCTTAGAACTTACTTAAAATTTAAGCCACTATTATTCAGCATATATTGATCATTACAATAATCTGATTTCTAAAATGCTAATGCACACTCTACTATCAGTTACACGTGTCCTTCTCTCCTCTTCCTCCTCTTTGTCCTGTACTCTCAGCTTTTCCCTCACTCTTTCCTTCCTCCTTTGCCTCTAACTTCCCACCAGTATGCTTAAGGTCCACTTCGTACGTTCCCCAGCACAGACTCTCTACTGAGTTACAGACTCCTAAAGCAAACCAACTCTGAGGCATGCCTCTAGCATATAACATCATCAATAAAAAGTCTACCAAACAGAAAAGTTTAGAACAAGGTATTATTTAAAATAACCTTTATTATGGCTTACTCTCAGACAAAGGTCAAATAAAAAAATCTTCTAGAATCTTTTCAATTTAATTTCTCTTTACTGTTATATAATTTTTGCTTTTAGTAATTACAAAGGAAACTTCATCTTTCTTTAAAATGTTCACATCTAGGTTTTTAAATGAAAACTAAAACATAAATATTTAACTTGTAGTAGTTTCAGGATGAAACATTTGACAACTAAAGACAAGGTAAAAAGTAAATGCTCGAAGAAAAGGTATTAAGATATTTCCTAACCAACACATGGTATGACAGAATTCCCAAAAAGTCCAAGAAGAATGAAATATGACTTCTATGACAAAGCAACCATTATGGCATTCCCAAGCTGTTCCTAATTAACTGCATTACTTACGTAATAGATGGATCCACTTGTTTGTAAGCATGGGCAGCACAAGAGCCACAGTACGTGTATCCTGCATGGCTACAAACAAAACAGTTTTTAATTTTAATCTCCACGTTCAAAATCAAGATAGCCTAAAGAAAATAAAACTTACAGAAAGAAATGTAAAAACTATGATATATGCAACGGAATTGAATATACAGATTAAAAAGCAATATAATTAATGATGCAACTTCTAGACGGCAACAGAAAACACATAGTTGTTTCATACTATTTATTCCAATTATAAACTTCCAAAAACATTTTAGGTGTCGGTTATGTAGCTCAGTAGTAGAGTACCTGCTTAACATGTTTAATGTCTTGGGTTTAACCCCCAGCACCAATCTGGGGTAGAGGAAGGGGGACCAAGAGACAGTTTGGTTTTGGGTGAAGATATGCAAGGCTTACTCTGAGCTGCTAATTTCTGATACTCCTCTGCAGTGAAATTAGCAGACTATTATACAACAGCACCAAACAAATACCCTGCAGGATTGTGCTCCCCTCTGCCTTTAGCAGTAAAGAAGCTGACTGGCTTCTCTGTATCATGCCTCTCATTTTCTCTCCATCACCCTTCTCTTTTCACCCTCTGGCTTCAGTATTCAGTCAATTCTCTTATCACCCACAGAACAGCTCTGTTCTCTGATCATTTTTCTCTCCTGAATCATTCCTGCTACACAAGTCTAGACTTACTTCTTTTAGACAGTACAGAAGGGTAAGAGTGACTCTAGCCAGCCGAAGCATGCAAACATGACTCTGGCAGGCCTTGCCCTTCTCCCCCATACCCTCTGCCTTGCTAAAAATCTGTTAGATTACATTGCTAAAGCTAGCCACCAAGATCTACCTTGAAGCTGACTACCAAGGTCCAGCTATCAAAGTATTGAAGTGCAGCAATCAAAAGCCCCCTTTGGCTCACCTACTTAACATGACCAGTTAAAATTAAACACCTCATCTTTACACCAGGTTTTCCCTTGTAAAAACCTTTATAAACCACCATGTGCCTGTTTCCTCTCTTTCCAGAGGCAATCCTTTGTTTCCCCACTCCTACCTCCCAGGACAAATATCCCTCTCCCCTCTCCATTATTCCCTTCCCTTTCACCCTTGTCCTCTGTCACATGTCTTTGTCTCTTATTCCTTGCCCTTTGTCCCTCTGGGGCACATAAATCTCCTTTGTGCTGAGAAGTTGGTCTTGGTAGATAGTATACAGCCCGTGGGGTAAATGTTTTAACAACTGACTCTGAAGGAAATGAAAACTGCACGTTCATCTGTACATAAATTTTTATACAATGCTACTGAGACTTAACAATTTATGAATAATGATAATTTCATATAGCCTATTGATTTATGTTCTGTGATATTATTTGCTTAACTCCTATAAACAAGCTATGACTGCAATAATGAAGAATGGATGACTGGGTGTGATGGCACAAGCCATGAACCCAAGCACTACAGAGGCAGAGGCAAGCAGATCTGTGAGTTAAAGGTCAGCCTGGTTACATAGTGAGTTCCAAGCTAGCCAGGACTACACAGTGAGATCCTGCCTCAAACACACACACACACACACACACACACACACACACACACACACACACACACACACACACAAACCAAACAAAAAGAATGGAACAAACCCAGTAGTTTCACATCTGGTGAAACAAATATATCACAAGAAATGTCCATTTTCACTGCAGCACTATTCACAAAACCAAAGGAAGTTCTGTAATCAACCTAAGTGTCAATCAACAGATGAATCTATAAAGAAAACGTAGGACACAAATGCATTCTACCTTGAAGGGAAAAAGTCACAAGGACGAGGGAGATGGCTCAATGGGTAAAACTGTGTGTCAAACTATAAGGACCAGAACCTGTGCAAAGCCAGACACAGCAGACACAGTGAGTGGCACACACAATCCTGGTAGTCCTCAAGCAAGTTTGGAAGTGGAGACAGAAGAATCCCCAGGAGCTCCAGAAGTGTAAGCAGCAGCAGCAGCAGTAGAAAAAAAAAAAGAAAGAAAGAAAGAAAGAAAGAAAGAAAGAAAGAAAGAAAGAAAGAAAGAAAGAAAGAAAGAAAGAAAGAAAGAGAAGAGGAGAGAGAGAGAGAGACCCCCTGTCTCAAACAGACAGAGGGCAAAGACCACCCCATCAAACTGGATAGTAGGCATGTCTGTGAGGCAGTTTCTTTGTTAATGTCTGACATGGAAGGGTTCCTAGGTTGTGTAAGAAAGCAAGCTGGTAAGCAGCATTCATGATCTTTACACTTCAGCTCCTGCCTTGAGTTCCTACCCTGACTTTGCTCAGTAATGGACTTTGATCTGGAAATGCAAGACAAAATAAACCTTTTCCTCTCCAAGTTGTTTTTGGTCACTGTTTTATCATAGCAACAGAAAAAAACAAACCAGGGTACCATCCCACAACATACATGGGTTTTTCTAAAACCACAGAACTCACAGATTGCAGAAGCATAGTTAAGGGGAAACAATAACAAAAGGGGAGTATGGCGATGCCTCAGTCAAAGGACCATGTGATGAATAGCAACAGTTGAATACTTTGTTTCAACTTCACTCCAGGCTAGATATTAAATGTTACCACTACAGATGTCCAATGTTTCAAGTGATGGATGGACTGACGGGCTTGGTCATCTCAAGCTGCATTCCTAACTGTAACATCACTCTGCATCCCACCCATAAATATGTATCATTTGTCAACTTCAAACTTTAAAGTGCATGGAACAATGAAGACATATGCATGAAGTTCAGTTGTTATGAACAATTGTACTCAGTTTGAGGATCAGATAATAGTTTTCCTGTACTATAAAAACTTTGCTGGGGGCTAGAAATGTGTCATGGTAGTTAAGAGAGCTTATTCTTCTAGAGGATTGGAATCTGGTTCTCATGAACTCAACATGAGCTTGACCCCAGCAACACATTTTTTTAAAAATGTCTACAGGGAGGTATCAATTAGTACTGTATAAAGTGAAGATCAAGAGATTAAGAAACTTGCATGCTACAGCTTTTTAAGTGGTGGAGTCTGACATCAAGTCATAAATGAGTATCTTACAAAGTATTTGGCACATAAAATGCTTATCAATATCATCCAAACATTAATCTAGGTTCTTTGTGTGTATGTGGGGGCTGAGTGTATGTATGTGCATGCGCATGTGGAGACCAAAGGTTGAGTATCTACCTCAATCACTACCAGTTTTTTGTAAGATGTATTTGTTCATTTTATTTTATGTATATGTATGTATATGTGCCTACTTGAGTGCATGCAGATGCTCACAAAGGCCATAAAAGGGTGTTGGATCTCCTGGAATTGAAGTCAGAGGCAAATGTAAGCTGCCTAACACAGGTGCTGAGAACCAAACAGGCCCTCTGCAAGAAAAGTAAGCAGTCCTAACACAGAACCATCTCTACAGCCCAACATTTGGTTTTTTAACTTTTAGTCCAATATACACTCATTTTTATCAATAATAAAAAGTCTAAAGATTTGGCAAAAGACCTCTAAAACTTACGGTGCAATAATGGCTCTAGCAGGTCTTTTCGTAGACTGTACTTGTGAAAGCCAACCTTCTAGCTGGGCATTCAGCTGAGGTCCTATGAAAAGACAAATGGAAAGGAGAGTCAGCAAAGCAATGTATTACAGATAACCAACCTTGTTGCAATGTCTTCACTGAACCTCCATAGTATTAAAGTAACTTATTGGGCAACAGAATCATCAGTCTGGATGTTTAAAGTTTCAATTTATCAAGTCATAGGTCCCTACCAAACCATATGACAGGGCTGAATATTGACAGAAGTAAAATTTGTTTTTATCCTCCTACTTCTTAGAAGTATCTTCATACAGATCAACCATTTACAATTTGAGGTGACATTTAAACAAAATACAACAAGAAGTAGAATACTCTTAATTAAATGAAAAGTGTAATTAAGTGAATTTGTTTTTTCACAGCACAAACTATGACTTTACTTGATCACTGAAATGGCATCCATGTAGTTGAAAACTCGCACACTCAATGATCTACCTCATCTGTTCCACCATCTTACTCCCCTATCAATAACTAATAACTTCATCACCTCAACAATTTCAGGTGCCAACAACTCACGCTCTTGACTTCCTATCTTTCCAGTTTACTACTCTCGGAATCCATTGACCTCAACAGCTCTCAAGACTCTTGAAGTCCTTCATCCTCTCTTTGTTCACTTCTTGCCTTGTCCAAGGTGAAACAGCCATTATTACTATACTCATCCCCTTTCATATGAGAATACAAATATAAATAATATGAATGTATCAGTCAAAACATACTTGTTAGTCAACTTCCACTTAACACAGTATCTGTACCTGAACTTAGTAAAGCTGGAGAGACAAGTGCTTCCCATACACACGTGGGGACCTGAGCACCAATCCCCAGAATCCAGTAAGACAGCAGCAGTGGAATGTGCCTGTAATCCCAAAGCTCCCACTGAAAGCTAGGACCTAGAGACCGAAGAATTCTCTCCCTTTTCAACAAACTGCCCTCATTCCTGTCAAAAGCCATACACACTAACGCACACTGAACCCCACTATGATTTTCTTACTCAAAAACTCTGCTCTCAACTGTTTCTAATCTCCTGCATCAACCTTGTCCCTTTTGGATTTGACTCTCACCACTAAAATCTAAGCATACCACTGATTAATTTTTTCTTCTACTAAAACCCATTTCTCTGTGCCACTTCTGCAGCAACTATGAATGGATATCCTTATTTCCTTCCCACCATCTATCCATTCTCTTTCAAGTGTTTTTTTATTTATTTTTTATTAGACATATTCATTTTCTTCGAAGTATGTTTTGTTTGCATGCATGTATGTATGTATGTATGTATGTATGTATGTATGTATATACCACATGTATGTCTGGGGCCCACAGAAGTGAGAAGAGGGCATGGATCCCCTGGCACTGGAGTTACTCTGCAAGAGCAACAAGTACTCTTAACCTCTGAATAATCTCTCCAGCCTCTTTTCAAACTTTTGAAAAACCCAGTCTTGAATATGCTAGATCTGTAGTCTAGATCAGGCAATAGCAGGAAGTGAGTTTTCGTGTCAGACACAAGTTACTAATACTCAAAGAACAACTACTGTCTGTCTTTAGAGGACAAATCAACTTCACCACCAATTCTATTACACTGTACCATGCTACTGGCTTAAAGTACCTTGTGGTAAGATTTTTAGATGTTCTAACATTAAAGCTTGTAAATTAACCAAACACACAGAGTCCTAATTCTTCTTCCTGAAATAGTCCAGAGATGGCCCACACACCAGAATCACCTGACTTGTTCACTTCAGAAAAATCTGTGGGTATTGCCAGAGTTAAGTTGGCATGACCTCTGGGGATGGTGCTAAAAAATTTTAACAAGCTCTCCAAGTGACTCTCACAGACATTGAAATGTGAAGCATTCTGCCAATAAGGGGTTATGTACACATGCTATAATGATTTCATTGGTGAGCCACATATCTGAATAGTTTATGACTGAAATTTTTCATTGTAAATCATAAATTGAAAATAAATGAGCACATCAAATTTACCTCCAAACTATGTTAAAGTCTGAAGTGACCTACACTATTTCTCAAAATTTACATGTTCTTTTTCTTTTTCTTTCTTTCTGAGACAGAGTCTCACTATATACCCCTGGCTGGCCTGTTTTTTAAAAAATTAAGCATAATAATAATAATAATAATAATAATAATAATAATAATAATAGGAGGAGGAGAAAAGAACAACAACAACAACAGTGGACAATGGAACGTGGTCCAGGAACGGAGAGGCAGAAATTCTCAGTGCTTGTGAGAACATGACAAGAAAACAAGAGTCATGTGACCTCAGTTTCTTCAGAACACGGAATTGTTCTTGGAATGTGTTTTCGTGCTCCTCCCAGGGATAGCAGACAGAAGTGAGTTCACCTCACTTACTCAGTATTGCTTGCTGCTGTTACGCAATTAAATGTTTAAACAATCCTTTATATGCCTTTATGGAAAAACACTGTCCTTGTGATTATATACAGCTTTAACTCATGAGAACTTCACTCAGGTGTTTTTGTTTTTGTTTTTGTTTTCCTGATGCTCTGAATAAAGTTGGCACTGCCTCATTTATCAGCTTTAGTCTGCCTTTAGTCTGCCTCATTTATCAGCTCCATTCTCCCAGGTCCCACAGCATCTAGAGTGCTGACAGAAGACTAGTTTTAAACAATGATGTTGTAGACATTACCCATGCAAAGTTTCTTCTAAATGAAGGCTTTGGGACTGGAGCGAAGGCTCAGTGGTTAAGAGCACTGGCTGCTCTTCCGGAAGACCTGGGTTTGGTTCCCAACACCTACATGGAAGCTAACAACTGTCTCATAGTACCAGCCCCGAGGGTCCAACACCTCTTCCGGTTTCCATGGTGCTGCACTCACGTAGTACACAGGCCATAAGCAGATACAACATCAATACACAGAAAACAAAAATAAATTTTAAAAAATGAAAGAAAAAAATATGGTGCCAGGGTGGTGGTGGCACAGGCCTTTAATCCCAGAACTTGGGAGCCAGAGGCAGGTAGATCTCTGTGAGTTCAAAGCAAGTTCCAGGAAAGCCAGAAAAATTAAAATAAAATACTGATTTGAGACAAAACAAATTATATTACATAATACTGGATGATATTGAGGTGGTAAAGGGTAAGACTCTTTGGGGCAGGAAAAGGACTTGAGAATGAATCACAGATTTGAGTCATTTAAGGTGGTACAGTCAAGAGAATGGGGTAAGTGGGGGATGGACAGATGATGGCGGCACAAGTGTTAAAACAGATCAAGAAGCTGGCATTGTAGCATGTGTCTGCAATCCCAGCACAAAGGCCAAACAGAAGAATTATGGATTCACGGCCAGCTTAGAGCACATAGACAGGGAAAGGGAGGAAGAAGAGGGGGAGGGAGGGAGATGAAAGTATATAATAAGATCGACACCTGGACACAGAGCCAAGAAGATGTGCCAACCAGAGAGGAAAACGATGGAGGAGACTTGGGCGGAAGAAAGTAGGTCCAGAAATCCTTGTTCAAAGCCTTATAAAATTAGCATATAAAAAAAGAAAAAAAACAAGTAGGCAAAGAAACGAACTGGAAACCAATCTTAGACAGAGAGGATGACTAAAATTGCCAGTGATACAGATGAGAGGCATTTCAGTGTGTTCAAGGATGGCCTTGATACACCCTTGAGTAGACAGTAGTGAGACATGCATGAAGTTACTATAGAACCACAGGTAACACATGAGCAGGGAAGCCTGAGCTATACTACCAAGCCAAAAGCCCCGGCTGAACTAATATAAAAACACCAACTCCTTGTACTCTGGCGCCCTTCGAGCTGCTGAAATCTATCCTTGGTTTAGCACACTTCCTCCTCCTCATTAACTGTCTCTGTTCTATTCTGTTCACAAACAAAAGGAACTGGAACTCCTCTAGAAATTCGTATCTGGATTACCAGCTGATATAAAAAAGCAGCAATTCACGAGATGAAGGAAAACACAGTACAAACAAGGCAAAAATACATCTTCAGAAACATTAAAAGAATCCAAAACTCTGTAATGAACAGCAACACAGCCAGAACAGGGAGAAAAAAATCACTTATCATGGATTCTGTGGTTATGGAAATCAGTTAACCTTGCAGTGACTACTTGTAGGGATGAAAAGCTCTGTGTGCAAGTACTTACAGACAAATAGATTGAGAGAAAATAGAAAAAGCAAATGAAAACCACTCCAACAAGGACCTGAAAGGAGTTTTTCAACATATCTTAACATGAAACTTGATGACTGCTACGCTTCAGGTAGGATAGATTATGAGCACAACCTTGGGCATTAACAATCACATTTTCATAATCACATTTTCATACCTCATGGCAAGGAAAGCTATCTATCAATATCATGTGAAAACCAACATTCGGAGATTTAACGTTTCTGAAGCTGTATCTATATAGATAACAAATAACCTGAATCTAAAACTGCATTTTTTGGTACCAATATAATTACCTTCAACGTACAGAAAAGATGAGCACTTTCATGGTTAAAAATTAAGTCAGGGCTAGAGACAGTTCAGCTGTTAAGAGGACCTGATGCTCTTGCAGAGGACCTGAGTTTGGTTCCTAGAACCCACATAGTGGTTCACAACCATCCATAACTCCAGTTCCAGCAGATCCGACGCCCTCTGCTGACCTCTGCAGGCATCAAGCCCACACTTGGTACACATACATACATGCAGGCAAAACACACATAAAATAAAAATGAATAAATCTAATTTTAAAAAGCAAGGTTAAATATACAAAATAGTTTTTATTTCTATCTAGTAGCAGTAAACATTTGAAAAATAAAATTTTTTAAACTTATCTAAATATCCTCAAATAATACAACCCAACCCCCCAACCCCCAACCCACTCCCCGCCCCCAGAGTTTTTCCAGAGCTGAGGACCAAACCCAGGGCCTTGCGCTTGCTAGGCAAGCACTCTACCACTGAGTTAAATCCCCAACCCCTACAATTTTTAATTTTTTTTTTTTTTTTAGAGAGAGAGAGAGAGAGAGTGTGTGTGTGTGTAATGGGGGTG